TTACAGCAAAATTTACCTAATATATACTTATTACTTATACTTATTGCTAAATATTTCAAAAATGTATTTGAATTTTAAAAATTCAGTAGGTTATGTAATATAAAATTGTTATTTGATAATTTGAACTTATTTGTCTTTAGATGAATAATAACGTAAGGCGTAAGGCATATGTATCAAGAAATTCCAAATGAGCAGTTAGTAGCTTTAAATTAATCCGGTATTTATTCTTTGTGAAAAATCCTAAAAGAAATTTTATTCTAAATATATTGTTTTCTGTTTATTATAATATAGAATAGAATAAGAAAATCCATGCCATTAGGATTATTAACCAAACGATAATTTCTTAATATCTAGAAAAAAAAATTATATTTTATTAATACTATCTCAGAATCGCAAATTTCGAATTTTAATAAACTTGAGCACCAGTCGTGGATCCTAGAAACCCCCTCCCCTAGCTTAGTAAGTTAAGAATTTAGATAAAAATTAATGTCAGGTATTTGTGAGAAATGTTTAAATTTAGGTTTTTAAGGTCTGTAAAAGCTAAGGTTATACTGTTAAATGCAACAAAAAATGAATCAGTCTCCCGAATCCTTTATAAAACTGTCAAAATTCATTAAAAAAACTTACTTTTTAGTTCCTAAACATGTACTTTTTAGTTTTTATTAATTTTAGTCGTTAGAAAGTAAAATTTTACTCACTAAAAAGTAGTTATTTATGGTTAAAAAATAGGTTTTTAATGGTTAAATAGTATTTTTCTTGCAGTTACAGTTCATCAAATTTCTAGAGGCTTTCGACGGCTAGACAGAGAAAGCACTACTGAGAGGCATCGGTTGGCGGGGCCGACGGATTTACGCAATGAAAGTACACTCTGCGCATCAAGTATTTCACTATTTTATTCAGACGTAAATGTCAGATGTAAATTTCGCTAAAACATTTCTTTTATTTTCGTTTGTGTTTTTTGCTCATTACAGTTTATTAGAACCTAAGTATGGAGTTTAATAGCAAATTAAGAGGCCGCGTGATTAACAGTCAATCTCGCGAAATAATAGCCAATGTTATAGAGTTTATGAGAAGAGAAGGAAACTTTAATTCACCTTCAATACCATTTAAAAATGTAAATGATCGTGTTGCTGCAGCCACAGGAGTATCTAAAAACACTGTCGTCCGCATTTCTGGAGAGAAAAAAAGAATCGATAACCGTGAGATATCGGAATTTTCATCACCAAGAAAAACCATTAAAAAACCAAAAACAGTTAATGATATAGATGAAGCTGACAAAGGTATTTTAAAAAGAATTATTCTGTTCATGTTAATCTCGGAAAATATTGTTCCAACATTAAAAACAATTCTGACTAAATTTAGAGAAGCTACAGGGTACAAAGGAAGCTATGAAAGTTTAAGAAAAATAATAAAGTCGCTAGGATTTCGTTGGCGGAAAACAAAAACAAACAGAAAAATATTAATGGAAAGGTTTGATATTCAAAAGCTACGTTTAGACTATCTGTTTAAAAAGTTATAGAGCAGAGGGCCGTCCAATTGTCTACTTAGATGAAACATACATTCATGCCTCCCACACACACCAGAAAGCTTGGAGTGATAATTCAAATGAGGGATTAAAGAAACCAATTAATAAAGGTGATAGACTAATTATTGTCCATGCAGGAGGTGAAATGGGCTTTATTCCGAATGCCCGGTTAATTTTCAAATCTGAAACCAAAAGTGGAGACTACCACGATGAAATGAATTTTAATAATTTTTCTAAATGGTTGAAAGAAAAGCTGTTTCCGAACCTCCCTCCAAGAAGCGTCATTATTGTTGATAATGCTCCTTACCATAATGTCCAGGTAAATAAAGCACCAACGTCAACTTCTAAAAAAGCTGACATGCAGGATTGGTTAAGGAATCATAATATTGCTTACGAAGAGGATATGCTCAAAACGCAATTATACAGTTTAGTGCTATTGCATAAGTCACGATTTAAGAGGTATGCAATTGAAGAAATGATAAATGAACATGGTTTTAGTTGTTTGCGTTTGCCACCGTATCATCCCGATCTTAATCCGATCGAATTAGTGTGGGCATCATTGAAACAATATGTAGCTAGTAACAACACTACATTTAAGAGGCAAGACGTACAACTGTTGTGTGAAGACTTTTTGATACGTTTTCTAACGAGGAGTGGCAATCTCGTTGTAATAATGCTAAAATGTGGGAATCTAAATTTTATGACAGAGAAGTTACTTTGGATGAGGCAACTGATAGATTTATAATTAACTTAAATAGTGACAGTGAGACTGATTTTGAATCTGATATGGAAACTGAAGAAAGTTTTTCGGAAGACCATTAAAATTATATCTGTACCTTAGATCAAAAAAGTATTATCTATTTTTACAACGAAGATGCATAAGAATCAAATTTTATTTTTTTATTATTAGATAGCTATTTTTGTTTCTGAGTTGTGTTCATTTACAGGCTCACTTTTTTTCCGTTTCTCCTTTTTGATTTTATGTGGGGTTTCAAGTTGTTTTTGACTTATTTCGACGTAAATCACAACAACACACTTTTTTAATAAAGCAAACAAGTGTTAAGAGGTATATGTACGTGTAAACTACAATTACAAAAAATTGATATGAAACCCATGAAACCACCAACAAAAATGTAAAGCTTCCGTACTAGAACATGGTGTCATTCGTCGAGATAATTTATCGTTTTGTTTAATAGATCAAGAAATGTAAATATTCCCCTGTTATTTTTTATAAAATTATAAGAGAAATAAATTTTTTTCTAAATAGTAGTTTATTATTTTGTAGAAAAAACAAAATTTCGAAAATTTTAGTAATGTTTCAGAAACAACCGTTATTAATAATAGGTACCATTTTCCTTAATAAGGTAGAAATAAAATATAAACTATTTCCATGATTTACAAAGGCCCTACAAAAAAATTATAGGTATTTTCCGCTATCCTATAAAATTTATATTTTCTGACTCAATTTCAAAAGGTTGAAGGAATTCCAAAACACCTTTTATGGCATAATAATTATTTTCAATTCTACATACTATCTTTAGCTGCTTTTAAAAACGTTCTAAGAAAGTCCAATCAGACCAATTTAATCCCTAAACTATTCCACACTTTTTAAAATTTAACTACCTAAAAATATTAAAAACTATTTAAAATAACTTGTTTAGCAGACTGTACAATAGCTATCTTAGTCACACGTAGCGCGTTCTCTGTCTGGGCGTCGAACACCTCTAGAAATTTGATGAACTGTAAAAAGTATTTGGTTACCTTGAACAAGCAGTTTTTAATTGTTGCAAAAAATGACTCAGTCTCCCGAATCCTTTGTAAAACTGTCAAAATTCATTAAAAAAAACTTAAGCCGGAACATTTAAAACAGAAAACATTTGGGGCATGCGCATTATCAATTTCCAAACAAAATTAAATAAAATAAGATATACCTAAAAAGATAAAAGTTTGCCATCTTTTCTACTAATTCTCTATTAGGTTATTTCATGTATACCTAAACGCTATACAGATGTGCATGTTTAATTTGCCAAAAAGTGGTACAAAAAAAATAATTTCAAAACATTTTTGTTTTCTATTTCTTAATTTACTAAAAATATCAAAAAACACTTCCATACATGTGTTTTGTTAGAAATATCTGTTAACCACTAGAATAAATAATTTTAATCTTAAACATGTAACCCTTAGTACTCAAAATAGCCTCCAAGTTCCATCTAAATAAAAAAAGGAATTTCTGATATCTTAATGAAAAAACTTTGCAAGATTTTTCGCTTTATCTACTGTTTTTTCCTTAATTAACGTTAAAGTGAGGTGTCAAGACATTTGAAACCGATAAATTAGTAGTTTAAAATACTTTTATATTATACGTTATGTACTTACCCTTAAAATTTTCAACAAAATCTTGAAGTCCCCAATTAGTCAGCTTCTCTGTGTAATCCATTGGAAAACGAACACAACTTATGCACAATTATTGCAAAAATGGCGTCAGACCTACGATTTGCCAACGTAACGTGGATGACCTTTGCTAGCGGCTAGGGTAATTATAACTAAAATCACAAATTAATCACTTGTTCTTGTCTGTGCCTGCCGATATACCGGGAACGGACTGAACGGAGTACGCCGAATACACGAAAATTTTCTCGAGCACAGACGAAAAAGCTCTCGATCGAAACCGATCGTTATTTTCTAAAGATATTTTTTATTGGACTTAAAAAGCGAATTGTTATGATGGAAAATATACGTATTAATATTTTGAATTTCTACTACAGAAAATAAATGTTTAGTGATTAAAAACTATTTTTAAGGGCAAAAATTATTTTCGCTGGTTCTATAGACTGAAAAAAAAAATATTTGCAAAGGGTAACAATTTTTTTTGTATGGCGACAAAACTACTTTAAAAAAGCATTTTATTTAGTTGCATGAATGTATTTTTTTAATTGTAGCTGAAAATTTATTTGTGGTAGCAAGAAATTTCTCAACAAATTTTTTTTAAAATATAATTCTCTCAGTGTATAGTGCTTGCAAACAGTATGATATTAATAATAAAAACTACACTTAATATACACCCAAGGAAAAAAAACAGCGATATTGGCGGGATATTTGAACCGTACTTACATACCATAAAATTATTGGAAAAAGTGAACACCCTTTTTAAATTACTACGAGCCGCCACGGCTTCCACATATACTACAAATTTTAAGTGCATATATATCTAAGATATTCAGCGAATTGTCTCTAATTCCGTGGTTTATTCCCTATTTCACTGGCTTATAATTCATAAACAGAGTGTTTTCAAGATTCAAACAATGAGAGAATGGAAAATGGAGTATCGGTTATTTTTTCAGATGTTTAATAGATAATAATTGTTAATAATTAGATACCATGGTCTGAAATTCTGAGAAACCCTGTGTACATATCTCAAAAGTACAAAGTACAAATTATGTTATCTGAACACCATTTTTGTTTTTATCAAGTGCAGGTAAGTATAAATATAAAAGTACCTTTGAATTTTTATTATAAGTCTCGAGTTTTTACAAGTCCACTCATTCCTTATAACTAACTTATTAAAATGGGTCTCATTGATGGAACATACAAACACGAAAAAAACGAAAACTTCCTTGAGTTACTGATCAAAGCAGGTGAGAATATTATATTAACAAGTACTTATTTTCTTGGGCATTTATGCAACAATATTATTAGCTAGATTTATTTGCGGATCTAAGATTTATAAGGGCCCTGCGATTAATAATTTTTGGGTCATTCACGTTTTTGTATATTTTTTTTCTCATCTAATTCTTTAATATTCATACCTATATCTACAACTAAATTTATGGTGGGCCACCGATAACGCCTTTGTCTGTAGAACCAGAACCAACACTATTTAATTTTTTTTTTAAATCTGTTTTTACAGTAAGAAGAATATCAGAAAAGGAAACAGTTTAAAAATAATTTCAATTATACAAGGTTCTCCAGGAAAGTGATACATATCAAAGTTTTTTTAAACAAGGCACCCTGTATTTTATTTCATATTTGAATTGTCCTTTATATTTCCAACATAACAATACCAAATAGTATCGGATTATAAAATGTATTTAACACGCTATAACCAATTTTATATGAAAATCGTATTGATTTCAATAACCTTTATACGGGCATGTGGGAGATTAATGTCTTATTCTCCTACATTTTTAAAAATTACTTTGTCTGATGAACGTATGAAACTCCATTTTAGGTGTGTACAGAATAAAATTACTGGAATCATTTAAAAAAACTTTTAATTTCGAATATGTACCGTGTCAAAACTTTTAATATCACTGTACTAATTATTTTTTATGCTTGTTTAAAATAAAATAAAATGAGAAAATGCCATAGAAATAGTATAGAAAGCCAATTCCATATATCAAAAAATAAAACCTAAAGAGAAAATAGTGTGTCGGAGTTTATGCGTATAACGGTGCTGACTCGGTCAGGACCGGTGCAAGTTTTTTATTGATCGAACAAATAGTTCACACGATGTTTCAGTCATACATTTTTAGAGATAATTCTGTATAAAAAACGATGAAAAAAATTCAAGTAAGGTAAATATGGTTCTGAAAGTCCTTATTAAGAAAGATATGGCATAAAATATGAATTAGTTCATTTTCGGCAATCATTAGTGCTATAGTCACAAGATTTTGCTTGTGATCCGACATCTTATTTGATTTAGTGTTATTTGCTACAAGTAAATTTAATCTGGGGAGTGCAAAATAGGGGGCAGTTGCATTTCGTCCAGGAATAATATTTTTTTACATTTTGTCAGCTGAGACTATGAGTTGTTACTTACAATTAGACAATTTTTAACAATTTTTAACAATTTTTAGCAATTTTTAACAATTTTTTAACAATTTTTAACAATTTTTAACAATTTTTAACAATTTTTAACAATTTTTAACAATTTTTAACAATTTTTAACAATTTTTAACAGTTTTTAACAATTTTTAACAATTTTTAACAATTTTTAACAATTTTTAACAATTTTTAACAATTTTTAACAATTTTTAACAATTTTTAACAATTTTTAACAATTTTTAACAATTTTTAACCATTTTTAACAATTTTTTAACAATTTTTAACAATTTTTAACAATTTTTAACAATTTTTAACAATTTTTAACAATTTTTAACAATTTTTAACAATTTTTAACAATTTTTAACAATTTTTAACCATTTTTTAACAATTCTTAACAGTTTTTAACAATTTTTAAACAATTTTTAACAATTTTATAAACAATTTTTAACAATTTTTAACAATTTTTAACAATTTTTTAACCAATTTTTAACAATTTTTAACAATTTTTAACAATTTTTAACAATTTTTAACAATTTTTAACAATTTTTAACAATTTTTAACAATTTTTAACAATTTTTAACAATTTTTAACAATTTTTAACAATTTTTAACAATTTTTAACAATTTTTAACAATTTTTAACAATTTTTAACAATTTTAACAATTTTTAAACAATTTTTAACAATTTTTAACAATTTTTAACAATTTTTAACAATTTTTAACAATTTTTTAACAATTTTTAACAATTTTTAACAATTTTTTAACAATTTTTAACAATTTTTAACAATTTTTAACAATTTTTAACAATTTTTTAACAATTTTTAACAATTTTTAACAATTTTTAACAATTTTTAACAATTTTTAACAATTTTTTAACAATTTTTAACAATTTTTAACAATTTTTAAACAATTTTTAACAATTTTTAACAATTTTTGACAATTTTTAACAATTTTTAACAATTTTTAACAATTTTTAACAATTTTTAACAATTTTTAACAATTTTTAACAATTTTTAACAATTTTTAACAATTTTTAACAATTTTTAACAATTTTTAACAATTTTTAACAATTTTTAACAATTTTTAACAATTTTTAACAATTTTTAACAATTTTTAACAATTTTTAACAATTTTTAACAATTTTTAACAATTTTTAACAATTTTTAACAATTTTTAACAATTTTTAACAATTTTTAACAATTTTTAACAATTTTTAACAATTTTTAACAATTTTTAACAATTTTTAACAATTTTTTAACAATTTTTAACAATTTTTAACAATTTTTAACAATTTTTAACAATTTTTAACAATTTTTAACAATTTTTAACAATTTTTAACAATTTTTAACAATTTTTAAACAATTTTTAACAATTTTTAACAATTTTTAACAATTTTTAACAATTTTTAACAATTTTTATCAATTTTTAACAATTTTTAACAATTTTTTACGTTTTTTTTACCGATTTTTACCAATTTTTAAAAAAGAATAACGGCCTAATTTTAGGCTCATTTTTGGCTAATTTTATACCAACATAATAAAATTTCATTTTGGTTTTTATCGAAAAAAATTAGGTGTTCTGTTAGCTTGACAATAAGACAATATATTGTTTCCCCTTCATTTTAGGCTAATTCTATACCAACATAAAAAAAATTCCGCTTTTGACTTTAATGGACAAATTAGGTGCTTTGCTAGCTTGACAATACGACTTTATAGTTTTTTGTTAAAAAATTGAAATAACTCTAAAATGGATGCGTCAAAATTTTAGGCTCATTTTAGGCTAACTTTGTACCAATATAAAAAATTTCGCTCCTTTCTTTACAGGGAATATTACGTAAAATTCTAGCTTGATATCAAGTCAGCAGAACCCCTTTGAATTTTTAAAATTTTGAATACGTCATAATTTTAAGCTAATTTTAGGCTAATTTTATACCAACCTAAAAATTTTTCTGCTCAATTCTTTATTAAAAAAAATAAGGTAGGTACTTTGTTGGCATAACAAAAGGAACGTATTGCGTTTTTCATTAAAAAATTTAGCAATTAAAAAAATGAAAACGGCATAATTTTAGGCTCATTTATGACCGTTTAATTTCGGGACACTCAGATTATCCTCTAAACATTTACAGATGTGCTACAATCGGTTGTACAAAATAACTGGAAAAAACCTGTAATAACTAGATAGAAAAGTCATGTGTTGGACACTTCAGATTTTTTTTTTTGACCCACATATCAGTAATAAACGCACTAAAAGTCCAGTGAAATATATTATACCACATTTTTATATAGATTTAATTATGTTCATTTTAAATCGAATTGGTTAACGAAAAAAAAAAAAACCAAGAGCTTTTATAACGGTAATTTGCTCTAATAACACATTTAACAATACCGAGGGTGCGTTCTGACTCCCTAAGATCTCTCCGTTCCCACGCCACTGAGTATATGAATGGACTAATATAAAAAAAATAACTTATCAATTAATTTATGCAACTTTTAGGACTTCCTGAAGATCGCGCCAAAAAAGCCGATGAAGATAGAGCCACTGTAACGATAAAGGTTGATGGAAAGAAAGTGTTATGGAAATATGACGGTTTAAAGAAATTTGAAGCTACTCTCGTCGTTGGAGAAGAAGTTGATGAACCTGTTGCCGAAGGCGAAATGGCTGTTGTAAGTTGCACAGCAGCTTAAATATCTCTAACGTCTATTTTGAATTATTCATTTTTTGTAGAGTACAACCAAACTAAATGGCAATGTTCTAACCGTCGATTCTGTAGATAAAAAAGGAAAGGGAACAATGAACAGGGTGTACACATTCTCAGATTCAGGATTTGTAGCTGTAAGTATTATTTTCTACATGGATTTTTTTTTTCACAGGTTTAGAATATATTTGAGGAGGATTGGTAATGTTTTTTTTAAGAATAATCCCTGCTTTTAAATATCTTTTTAAATGACATCAGTAATTGCTTCAGAAATAGTATTATTGTACCGAATATTCAGATTTTCAAATGGATCTTGATTCTTTTTGCGATTACCTCATATTAAATAAGTAACATTTAAATCTAAATAAGTGTTGTAAAATACTCCTAATACGTACTAATATATCCCCAACTACTGTCAATATTGTTAATCTTTATTTGGAGAATCTCACAAAGATATAAATCTGGAGTATTTTTGGATACTATACTTTTTGATAAACATATCGATAACATAGCCAGGTGAAGTCTAAAAAATCATGGATTCATTCTAAGAATTATAAAGAAAATTGTCAAACCAGATGGAGTAGTGTTTCTATAACTATATGATCAAACCAACTTCGGAATATGCATATTACCTTAGAAAAAGGTACATTAAAGCTTCTTTCTTTAGGAATAATAAATATAGAGGATGTGCCACAAAAAACTCTAGCAATGCGTATTTCTGAAACCAGATACATTTTAAAATGTAAACCTAATAGACCGTCAGATAGTCACCGATTTAGGTGCCCCATTTTCGCATACAAGCCTCGAAGAGGGTTGAAAAGTACATCGATGTTTAGTAGAATAAAAGAAAATTAATAAGTGGCTCTTGGGTATAACACATGGAAAATTCGATTTTCCTTATTAGAACAATTTTCCGACACCAAAATGAACTTATACATTCGGGTCATTCAAGAAAATATGTTTTTCAGACTAGTGACGACGTACGTTTTCATACATTCGATGGACTTGTGTGGAAAAATCGGGCAAACCCTTGATTTTTCCTTAGAAGATTACGCCCTTATTTCAACCCTTTAGTCACTTGCAACATTAAAGCCTTTGGTTTTCCGAAGCCTAGTTTTATTAAATAATCATATAGTGAAAACGGCTTGTGTGGAAAAATGGGCAACAAATAACCTTTCGTTTTTGTTAGGAAAAATCAAATCTTCCATGTGTTACCTCCAGCAGCTACTCGTAAATTTCCTTTCATTCTACTTAAAATTGATGTACTTTTCAAGCCTCTTCAACGCTTTTATGCGAAAATGGGTTACTTAAACCTGTCACTATCTGACGGACTATAATAAAAGTCATTCGGTCTCTAGGGGTGGGCGATTATCGAAGTAAATTATTGATCATTGAAAATAATCGATTATTTTCGATTAATCGAAACTTAAAAACTAAGCCGCATTATAGATAAATTAAATATTCGATTATTTTCAAATATTCTTGTTTTTTTCGTTTTTTCTTTAAATTTTATCTTTAAAAAATCGAAAATAATCGATTAATCAGAAATAATCGATTAATAGAAAATAATAAATCAATTAAAAATAATCGAATAATTAAAAAACCGATTTATGGATAAATCAATTTTCCTAAAAAAATAACCGCGTTTCGTTTATTTTTAAATAATCTATTTTTGTCGTATTTCCATTAAAATTGATTATTCCATTATATTTGAAAAATCAGAAATAATCGATTAATTAAAAAGACTATTAACCAATTAATCGGTAATTCTAAAAAATACCTGAATTACCGATTATGTAAAATAACCGATTATATTCGTTTAATCGATTATTTCCAAATAATCTATTTTTTTTTTCGTTCTTCCTTTAAAGTTAATTATTCGATTACCTTTGTAAAATCGAAAATAATCGCTTAATCGAAAATATTCGATTAATCGAAGATATTCGATTAATTTCGACGTTAATAAATTAAAAACAAACTAGTTTTGTTTTATTTTTGAATCCTTTTCTTTTGTTTTTTTTTTTCGATTGCTTCTAAAATATAAGCTGGTTCCCTTAATGGCATCCTTCTTACATGTCTTGGATCTACCATTTCTGGTAATATACAATTCATAAAAAATTTTTTAATTTTTGTTCCATTTTATTTTGCCAGAAATCATTTCTCTTTAGTAGTAGAAAAAAGAATATGGTTATTATAAATACTCTCCAGTGAGATGATCAATCAACATGGCAGCGACCATAGAGTGGCATCTAGTCCTATTGATAGTAGTACTTAACGGCTTTTTCTTAAGAATTCTCAGGCTACCACATAAGTTAAATTTTGCTTAGTTAGCGGAAATTGTTTAGGTCCAGAATTAGAGAGCTAGGGCGTCATAACATTTGAAATTTATTTTTATTTAAAAAAAGAACCATATGTGAAAAAAAAAAAGAAAAAAAAAAGAAAATACTTATGTTTCTCGAAAAATTTATATTTTTGATAGAATTAAAAAATAACTTAAGAAATGATGATCTGTTATTGTAAGAACCTTGAGGAAATTAAACACTATTAAACAATTATTATTAACAAAAAAGCAAAAGAGTTACATCACATTTTAAACCGACGTTAATAAATTAAAAACAAACTAGTTTTGTTTTATTTTTGAATCCTTTTCTTTTGTTTTTTTTTTGTTTTTGATTGCTTCTAAAATATAAGCTGGTTCCCTTAATGGCATCCCTCTTACGTATCTTGGATCTACCAGTTCTGGTAATTTACAATTCATAAAAAAAATTTTAATTTTTGTTCCATTTTATTTTGCCAGAAATCATTTCTCTTTAGTATGTACTCTACTTTAAGTGGATATTTATGGTCTATCCAAACACCAAAGATACATCCTTTCCGGCCAGTAATATGTAACTGGCCTTATATTTGGTAATACCATTTGTGTTCTCTATTTACTAAATATTCCCCAGTTTTTTATCAATAATCCAAAACGGAATTTTCGTTTTTCCTATTGCGTCGTCCACTTCCATTTTATACGCTGAATATGGATATTTTACCTCAACCACAAGATCATCGCCAATGATTCCATCTGGTGTTGCACCTAAAAAATAGCTTTTTATATTTTTTTCTAATGTTTTTAGTTTATACAAATATTGTACGGTACCAGAGTCGGCATATTTTTAAATATTAAAATTATTACATTTTTTTTTGTGGTGTCATCGGCTTCAACTGCTAAGGTTATTTCTCCTCGTGTTCTGTGTAGGCTTTGCTACTGTTTCCCAGCGCCACTTTAGGAACAGCACTGTTAATTAGAACCCAACAGTGAATGGTCGAGTGGGGAATCCTACCAAGGCATCAGAATTAATTTTAAATAGCTAAATTAAAAAAAAAAATCCCGGCCAACGGTGGGATTCGAACCAGGGACCCATGGATCCACAGGCAGAGACTCTACCACTGAGCCACCCACCCCTCAATATAACATATTATTTACCAACCTAAATATGGATATTCTCGGTCGATAAAAATTCCACATTCTTCTATTAAAATGTTTTTTTGTTCTTGTAGTTGGAGTAATGCCACTTTTTCATATTATTTTCCATGATAAATGGAAGCTGCTTTTGGAGATGACTCATAAGCTATTCTTTTTACCAATAGTCCACTCAAAGTAGTGCTTCTTCTAGTACATACTGCCTTAAAATGTGACGCTGTAATCATTTTTCTTCGGACTTCAAGCCATAAGCTACTATTTGCCTGGGAAAGAGTTTTTTCTTGAATTGAACTTTTTTTAGAATTCGATGATGGTAATCCTTTTAGAAAATCTTTTTTCTTTGCCTCAAAAATAGTTTTATCCAAATCTGGTTGGCTACAGTTTTCGCCATAGTCGAAATCGGTATTGGTCGCCCGAACCTTTTTTTCTTATACTAGCTTTAGGTTTTATAGCCCGTAAGCGTCGTTGTCTTTATTTGCTAATAGCGATGAGTTACTTCCCAAAGTTTTCTTTAATTCAGAATTGCCACATTTTGAATTGAGTGAAACAACTGCAGCAAAACACCTACTTTGGTACGATCGTCCTTTTGAGTAATTAACCCCATACAAATTTAGCGACAATAGAGTGAAATTGTTCAACAATATTGCTGTCAACCTCATATAACAGACTTCTACTTTGATCTGACAAAGAATGTAATATTTGCTGAACTAGATTTTAAATTAGGTACAACATTGAGAGTGTCATCTGAATTTTTCTTACAAAAATATTCATCGCAATTCGAATATTGCCCAAATATATGTAGAACAGAATTATCTATATCCTTTTTTAGCAATAAAATAGTTTGAGAACTGCCTATATTTGTGGTATTGTTTTTTTCTGTGTGCTTTTGCCTTTGTAATCGATGTTCTAAATCGAAGAATATGTTGGGACAATAACTTTATACATTTTATTGGGAAGCGCGTATCCAGGGAAAGAATTTTTAATTTATTTGAAAAATATACTTTACTCTTGAGAAAAATTTATATTTTTTGACGCACCTCGTATACGGCTTAAAAAATTTGATATATGATGGTTGTCTTTTGGGGTTTAGAGTATGCACTATTTTTTATGAGAAATATTGTTTCTCCTAAAACTAATAAAAACGTTTTCCATATATAGCCTACTTAAGTAGACACGATGTTAATCAATTATTACATTTTTTTTTTTTGTCAAAAACTAATGTTCTACCTTATTACTGTCTTTTAAATTATCCAGATTTCTAAAAGGCATTGCTTCAAAATGTTGCAAATTCTCCTAAAATAGATAGGTACATAAAATATATTTATAATTCAACAAAAACAAATCAATGACATTTTCTAAAATTAAAAATCTGATGTGTCCAACACATGACTTTCCTATCTAGTTATTACAGGCTTTTTCAGGTTATTTTGTACAACCTATTGCAGCATCTCTATAAATGTTTAGAGGATAAACTAAATATATACATTGTCCACATACATCTACCGCGAAACATTTTTCTATAGATATTCATTGAAAATGAAAATACTGAAAAATTTAAATTAAGCACTTTTCCTACAATTTTCCCATTACGGTCCATTTTGAAAAAATCATGTATGAACAAATATTATAGAGATCGATATCGCAAACAACTTTTATTTCAACAATTTTCAT